ATTGACAATTATGTGATGATATTATATGTTTTTTGTCTTCCAAGTGACATTTCGTCCCTTTTTTCTTTCTAACATTCATATATTATAACTATTATATTTACATAATTGTCAGTTATACTTGAAAAAGACGACAGCGGTGGTCAAAAATTAAATGGGGCAAAGTTGAAGAAAAAAGAAAACCGAATACTCCAAAATAGTTTTAATTTTTTCCTGAGCAGCATCAACTTTATTTTTTTCTTATGGGCACCATATAGGATTTTTGCACATATGAATAAAGTTCTTAATTCTAATTCTGTATAATAGGTCATGCATTGACATTGCCAAACTTTAGTTTAAAAAAAGCAGACTTTCCTAGGTAGGCCTTGAAATTATCAGATAGTCATTTGTTTACCATGTCAGATTATTACCAAAATCACTTTTATTTTTCCTGACCTTATTTGAGACGGGATTTCAAAATACATTGCATGTTGTCATTGTTGCTTATCCTCTCTCCTCTACAAGATGGCTTAGTCAAATTTTCAGTTCGACATTTCTTCTTTTGACCATCACCAACACTGTTTTTTCAAATGGGCGCTATATTGGAATTTTGTACATTTAAATGGACTTTTCAGTCCTGAAATGTATGGTATTTCCTTAGTTGGACATGAATTTGTTGTTGGATAAAAGTTGTAAGTTATGGTGAGACCTGAACACAAAATGAAAATTTTATGTATGGTAATAACCAAAATAATCATAAATAAGCAGAGATAAACCATAGCAGATGTTTAAACGTTCTTTATTTTGTAGTCAAAGCCTGACTACTCGATTTATTTCTCTTCTTCTCATTCTTAAAGACTCTGTTACTATGTTCAATTTGAGGTCTGGTCTGGTATACGAAACAAATTAAATCTGATACTTACAAGGCCTACCTGGGAAATTCTGCTGTTCGTGAAGTAACTATTTATCTGCGAAAAAATCCAATAAGATATCTATAAGAAAAAATAAAGTTGTCATCTTGTAGAGAAGAAAAAGTGAAAACGTTAATACGCAATTTATTTACAAATTCCTCAACAATTAAAGTCAGGAAAAAAATAAATTTTGGGAAAATTCGGTTTTTTTCGTCTCTCTCCAGAAGTACTTTGATTTTCCAAACTTTCTAAGCGGCATTTTGTCGATTACACCCTGTGTGTGGTTTTGATTCGACCACACAATGGAGTCGGATGAACATGAAAACCACAGAATAAGTTTCACGAGTTACTTTAAGTAGCTAGATGTGCACTGCTTCCCTTGCCTATGATGCTCTGGTTAAGTAATGTTCGGGAAAACATACTGTATCCAATTTAAACCCCTCCCTTGGCCCATAAGTGTATGTACGTTTGGTACCATTTCGAACTATTACGGTGGGTACACCCCTTTGTCATAATTTCTTACCGCCCCAAAACCGCTAGACCAACAAATACTGCGTTTTATTGCCAATTTGAAAATAGCAGATAAAGGCCAACTGTTTCAACTGCAAACCTAATTTGGCATCAGTTAATTGAATAATCGACTGACTGTAAGTGCATGGGGGTAGCTGGAATGTCGTATTTCAACCCATTCATTTTTATTAAGTAGCCAATTTGTCGCCCATAATTATTTGCTTTAATAGGGGTAATTATTTGATTTGTGTTTATGTGGTAGAATTAAAATGTTCTCAGGATTATACAATGCATGCAAGTTAGATGCTTTATGTGGATGTTTTGTAAATCTTCAACCAATGATATGTAATTCTACTGAAGTAAACTGAGATACTCAGTGCCGTCTACCGCGTTTTTTCCAGCTGTCTTACGAATCCGGCACGTTCGCAGAAAAATGGAAGTTAGCTCACGTCCAGCCCATCAAAAAAACCTTACTACTACAGGCATGTAGGTATTTCTGGACGCTGGCCACGCAGATTGAAAAGAACTTCGCGCACAGTAGCCTTCCACCACTTACGTGTTAGGTTGGAACGATTATATCCGACTCAAAAGCCAAGATTTTTGCTGCCAACTCCACCATGGAGGTACCCCCCAACGCTCAAGTGCCGTCAATTCAAAGGGTTCACTACACTATGCGGGAGGTAGTATTCAGGCATAAGACCGTAAGACGAGTTCTCTTGTCGCTCGACATCAACAAAGCTTCTGGTCCGGACTTGATTCCTGTCATTGCACTGAAGAGGTGTGCAACGGAGCTTGCCCCAGTTCTTTCGTGTCTCTTCCAGATATCTTATGAATCCGGTACCTTCCCAGAAAACTGGAAATTTGCTCATGTCCAACCCATCTTAAAAAAGGATCTATGACCGATCCTTACTACTACAGGCCTATAGCTCTGCTTTATGTTATAAGTCAGGTGATGGAAAGGTGCATAGATCACGAGCCTCTGGACTACCTTAAACGTCACAGATTGATTAACGGCAGACGGTATGGATTTCGGCACCATCGATACATGGACGACTTCCTAGATTACATCTAGCAACTGTGGAGTAATCTCATCCAGTCTTATGGTGAGGCTCATATCGTTGCTCTTGATATCACGAAAGCGTTCGATCAGCTGTGGCACGCTGCCCTCTTAAGCAAACTTCCATCCTATGGCCTTCCAGAGAAGCCTTGCAGATGGCTGACTTCCTCTCTAGTCGCAAGATATTCCTCGAAATTGACACAACGTCAACGCGGGCGCTCCCCAGAGATCGGTCCTGGCTCCGACATTGATCTTGATCGATCAATCCGATCCACAGCTTTCTTTATGGAAGGAATTCAGAGTGACAAGCTGATCTCTGCCGGTGAACTGGAGAGAAGGAGGCTAGCAGCGACTTCCTCCCTGACAAGAGACGTGGAAGTTGAATTCTACCAAAGAGCTGTACATTTCGACTAGTAGGAATCCAGATCACACAGGTCTTGATTTGGCACGAACACATCTCGTCAATTGCCTCAGCTTTGGGAGAATGGTAGGCTATTTGCTTAGGGCTAAGCAGTACTTTTCTTCAAATAACCTTTTCACTATGTTATACAAGTCCCAGGTAAGACCTAGCCTCTAGTACTGCTCACATGCTTGGTATGCTGCCACTCCGACTACATTATGCATGCTCCATGTTGCTCAGAGCAGGTTTGTCCGACTGATCGATGACTCTTCTCTTAAGGACAGTCTCGAGACCTTTCTTCACCTAGCCAAAGTATGCGATCTAGCTCTTTCGTGTCGAACTTACATCTGGCCAATATGACCGCACCTTTTTCTCTAAGGTATCAAGATTGTGGAACAATTTAATTGAGGAGGCTTTTCCCAGTTCGACTAACCTTACCCAATACAAAAATCGGATTAACAAAGTGTCTTTAAGCTGGACGCCTGGTATTTAGGCGTCTGCCTACACGGCTACATTCGGTATAAAAAAATTAGCTTAGTATGCCAAACATTAATTACAGTGGAGAGAAGTGGCTCCAGGAAGTGTAATCAGTTATTTGAAAGATTCATAGGAATTAATTTGGGGTACCCAATTTTGGATCCTGCTGTCTGAAGCATACTCCCTGTTCTGTTAGACAACTTACGGGACGCCGTGTAGGACCTAAAGCTTGGCACCAGTTGTATGGCATTAATCTGTGTACGTCATCCAGATACTGGTGATATAAGTTGTATTGCGAAACTGGCGATCTATACTGGGGATTTGTGTGAAGCACGATAAAGGTGGTTTTCGAGCATCCTATAGTATATTTTACATTGGATCTTCAACTGTTGACCCTCTATTAGACAATTTTCCTTACTTCAGTCTCAGATTCCTCTTTAGATATTATGAACGGTATAACAATAAGTAATGCAAACTCAATGAATAAATAAAATGTAATGGAATTGCCTCATTTTCATACAATCGTAACATAAACATTGGTTTATCGTTCACCATTTTTGTATTTGACCTATTTAAGAAGCTTCAAATGAATAGTGAAATGATACGCTTGTTTTGTAATATAAGTATTTATGTTTAAGTGCCTACAACACACCTACATAGAATCGTGATGTCTGTTTACACACCGTTTGATTGAATTAAACTAGGCATATATTAGGATATCGCGGCATGGACAAAGAATAAGGATTGCTTATGAATCATAAGAATCACAGGAAGGTGGATCTTGCTTATATATTTTTTCGGTTTATAAATTTAATACTTCAAAGCATCTTTAAATTTCTTTCTCCTATGTCAATTTCGGCGGGGTTCTAAAGGCGTTAGCAAATCTTGCATAAAGATGAAGAGGACTCTGACACCGAGGTTTTTGGATATAAAACAAAGCCCTCATTGTTTTTCGGAGATACCACACCACAATATTTCAGCGGCAAATGTTGTGTCTCATTCAGGAGTGGAATGAGAGTAGTGGAAGAATAATAATCTGATTCGATGTTTTAACGGCGGCAATTCTGAAGCTGAATGTAGAACCTCAAAATACAGGAGAAAATTCAAGAAACTCTTTGAAAAGAAAAAACATTGTCGAGGAAAAACCCAAGAGATCCACCAGAATCAAGAGCACCAGTAAATAAAGAAATATTATTTTTATCCATCACGAGTATATTTTACTAATACCGGTTGTTCTTCAGCTCATTGATAGCCCAATCTTTTGAATGTTTCAATTTTGTCATTTTGGTATATTTTTGACACTTTCAGCATGTACCGATTATTTATACTACTTATAGAATATATGGTATTTATTTACTTTTCATCCATTGCCAAATGTAAGCATTAACCGTTGACCTCAATTTTGTCCTTATTACAAGTGTGTGACTGTTAAATCTAAACAAATAAGTTTTTATGGTACTATTCTCATCTCATCGCCTTCCTATACCTAGTTTTATTGATTTATTATTCTGTTCTGTATATCCGGGTGTTTTTATTAGTATTGCATATAATTGTTGCGTTGTCTTTATTCTGTATAGATCTAATATATTTATCATGTGGTTATACTCATTTTACTGGCAAAATACGTTGGGTGCTCTTTAAGAATAAGCCTTCGCCAGATGTTTTCAATATGTCTAGACGTCTAAAATTCATGAGCTTCAACGTAAGGTCAATTCAGTCTGGTTTTCTAACTTTGAAGGAGTATGTTGTTGACTGTGCTGTCGATGTCCTGGGTCTCAGTGAGACTTGGCTAACCCCAGATATTGATTCCTCCTCAGTATTTATCAACGACTTCAATGTCGTTAGAGCAGATCGAAATAGCAGAGGCGGGGGCGTCGCGTTTTATGTGAGAAATGGTATTGCCTTCAAAATATTGCACTCTAATATCACCGCAGTATTGGAAGAACTTTGGATCTCTGTAAAAGTTAATCAACGCAAATATTGTCTAGCTATAGTCTACCGTCCACCATCGGCAAACGTGCTTGACTGTTTTCATCAATTAACTGAGTCTTTAACCAACCTTTCACTCGATAATGATTACGCAGTTGTCATGGGCGACTTTAATATTAATGTTTTAGTGAACGACGGCCGATCCGAGATGCTGAACTGTTTTCTTGAGTCTTTTGATCTGTCTCAGTTAGTCAAAGAGCCCACACGTATAACTTCCAATAGCCAGACAGCTATAGACTTGCTCATGGTTAGCTCTGCTGATATAATAAGTGGTTATGAAGTTGTTGACGTAGATGGAATATCTGACCATCTAGCCCTAATATTTTATGTAGATGCATCGGAGATAAGCAACCTATGTAAACTGAGGACATATCGTGATTACTCTACCTTTAGCCTAGACAATTTCTACCATGATTTACTTTTAATAAACTGGGATTTTATATATACGTTGAGAGATGTGGATCAAATGATTGACTTCCTGAGCTCTAATATCTTGTGCACCTTCAACTTGCATGCTCCTGTCAGAAACATTCGAGTTACCAAGCCACCAGCTCCTTGGCGAACATTCAACATAAAACTCATGATGCGAACAAAAAGTGACGCATATAAAAAAATTTAAACGTACAGGAACGATTGCTGCCTGGGAATTCTATAAGAAAATCAGAAATTCTGTTTCTAGTGCTATTAGGCGAGAGAAAAAAGCCTACCTCGATTATGTTATGAGACATAAAAATTCGAAGACTACATGGAATATACTTAGATCTTTGAATATCGTTAAACATAACTCCATAAGTCTACCTCCACATCTTCAGGATCTCGATTCATTAAATAGTGCTTTTTTAAACGTACCTCAAACAACCAAATCATTAACTCAATTGAACCTTTTAGACAAATATGAAAACGTCAAGAATAGTGGTACTTTTCTGTTCACGACAGTTTCCCCTGCCACTGTAGAGAAATTTATTGATCGCATCAAAAGTCATGCTAAAGGCTCAGATGGCATCACAATTGATATGATCCGTATAATACATAAGCATTTGCTCAAGTATATTACCTTCATTATTAACTTTTGTATAACAAATGATCTTTATCCCTCTTCCTGGAAGAATGCTCTTGTTCTCCCTCTGCCTAAATCTAATTATCCTTCAAGTTTTTCTGATCTTCGTCCTATAAGCATTTTACCAAGTTTATCTAAGCTTCTGGAAATGGCTCTACATGAGCAGCTGCACACATTTGTTTGTCAAAATAATTTACTGACCACCTCCCAATCTGGCTTCAGACCATTACATAGCACCACCACTGCGCTCCTGTCTATATCGGATAATATTTATAGCGCGGTTGATCAAGGAAAGCTGTCCTGCTTAGTTCTTCTTGATTTTAGCAAGGCCTTCGATACGGTTGACCCAAATATTCTCTGTAAAAAGCTTAGATACTTTGGCCTGTCATCATCGGCTTGCACGCTGATTAAGAGCTTTTTAACTGATCGCTCACAGTCTGTCATATATGAAAACAATATATCAACTTCTTTATTCAGGAATTTTGGTGTCCCTCAAGGATCTATTTTGAGTCCCCTTTTATTTGCTCTTTATATATGTGATTTTCATGAAACCGCCAGCAACTCAATCGTTCATCATTACGCCGATGATACCCAACTTTATAACTGCTTCGATCCTGATGAATATATGCTTGGCCAACATCAAATAAATCAAGACCTGCAGTCTATTTTTGACATATCTAGTGCTCACAATCTAAAACTAAATCCTGGCAAATCATGCTGCATTTTATTTGGGCCCAAAAAGAATCGTGAAATAAATCAATATCGCATTAATATTATGGTGAATAATGAAGACATATCCTTCGTAAACGAATGCAAAAACCTTGGTATCTGGTTTGACTTCAAGCTACGCTTCACTAAACATGTTAACCAACTATGCAATGCGTCCTATAATGTGCTTCGTCAGTTATATCCGAGTCGAAGTGTCCTGTCGACACAGCTCAAGCTTAAACTCTGCGAGTCCCTTATCCTGTCAAAATTATCTTACGGTGACTCTGTTTATGGACCTGCTCTTTTACAACGTGATGCCGAGCGGATTCAGATGATACAAAACTCATGCATCAGATTTTCTTATGGAATCCGTAAATTTGATCATATTAGTAGCGCTTTTGACCAATCGGGATGGTTTAAGATGAACAAATTGAGGAAACTGCATTGCCTATCTCTGGTACATAAGACCCTTATCCTTAAAGCGCCATATTATCTTTATACAAAACTAAGCCTCCTCTGCCAGTACGATCAAAGATCCTCTAGGAATAAACTCATCTTACTTATCCCGCGGCATTCGACAGCATTGTTCACACGCAGTTTCTCGTACTGGGCACCCAAACTATATAACTGCTTATCAAGTGAGTATAAAGAATATAGCCTAAGCAATTTTAAAAAAAGGTTAAAGATGAGTTTAAAGCAGTCGGATGGCTAAAATTTTACTTTATGCATATCCACAGGTAATTGATTGTTTCCTTTCTCTGATAAGTGTTATATTCTAAGTTTTTTTTTTCTCTCTCTCTCTATAGTTTGTGTCAATGTTTTCCAGGTCGGGTTGAAAAACAGCATAAGCTGACACTCCACCTTTTCGTCACTGTTCCTTTTAAACCAATTATTTTGTAATCGTGTGACGAATAAAGGCCATTTATTATTATTATTATTATTATTATTCGATATCAAGGTGGTAATCAAGACACTCAGCATCTGAAAAGTAACTTCGGCCTCTGTGATGAAAGCTGTTTTCGCAGCAAGGCCCCACTCATTTGGGTACTGGAACATGTTGGGATTTATGGTAGTGATGCACTCCCGAGAACGGGATCCCAGTGCAACTTTTTGGCAACAGTGGACTGTACTTTGTGCCAGCGCTTCCTGGCGGCCAAGAGCAGATGTTTTGTTTGAGACACAAAGAATCTAAGGTTATTGGTGGAACGGTTATCTGGATACGTGCTTTTAGAAGAGTTCTATATATATGATGCGGTGGCTGAAGTTTTCACAGGTGCACGATGATGGTAGTTGTGTGGTGGTGACGCCAGGCAAGAAGGCATTTTTGGCCGTCCTGCCGACTCTGAGTGTACCAACACTACTTCACATATTAATTCGCTAATATGTGTAACCTTCTTGATCTCCTAATAAAGGTCAGGATTTCCGACCAATCCACAGAATAAGCAACTTCACCATCAAATTCTATAGCCCGGAATATATCAGCCCTGAGACTGCAATATAGGGATCAACAGCCCAGAAACTAGAACGCTGGCTAGGCGCGAAATGAACAAGCAGATACCTAGCGCAAAAGTTGACATTTTTACCGATTTTTTTTTGTTATTATATATGTAGGTGTTTTACATAATAACACACGTACCCTCGTCGCACATCCTTAGGTATGCCGACATGGCCTCCTGTCAACGTCAATGACTGCTGAAGGGCGATGAGGACGATTTTCTTCATCGCGCTAGTTATCCCCAGCGCCGCCAGTCTTTGAATTTTGGGTAACCGAAGTCTTTTCGGTACATGACCACGAGACCACGCATCCGTACTGTTTTCTAGATTCTATAACCGTCGTGTTAAGCCAATGCAGAACCATTGGTATTAATCTCCAAGTCACACCGACTATAGTTGTAGTCACTGTTCTTGACGGTTACGTCATCAACGCCATATGAAATAAGTAAACAGATCGAATCTCCATACCATGGAGGGATCTTAATTTACTGGGTAACTGGGGACCGCTGTTTTCATTTTCTTCCTGGAAATACTCTAATAAATTTATCACAAGCTGTCGGCGTTCTCCATTGATACGTAACGAAAAAGATTTCGGGACGGTGACACAACTAAAAAACGTATGTCTTTGAGCTTACCGAACAAACGTTCACACACAGGGGTAGGTTGCATGTGTACGTACGTACGTATAAGTGAAATGGAGATATACAGCGTGGCGCATCGAAAACGAAACAGACGCATTTACTGGCAGCTCAGTTTTTTTTGGAAAAACGCTCAGACCCGTCGATTTTGTTTTCGAGGGGGACACAAGTTTGGCAAAAAATCACGTTAACAAGTGCAGCCCTGGGTCAGTCGCCAATAAAAAACGCAACATTGAAAATCCCATAAGAAACGAAGCAATAGAAGTGGGGATTTTAGGGCAAGTTTATGTAGATCCTACGTTAAGTATCCGCAAATTGGAGACTGTGTGGTGTTAGTTGACGTACTGTCCAACGGATTCTAAAGGCCCATAGTTTTCATCCGTATAAAATTCACCTGGTACAAGAACTTAATGAAGACGATTTTAATGGGCGATTACAATTTTGTGAAGGTATGAGTGAACGAATTATAAACGATGAACATTTTCTATTCAGCACTTGCTTTTCCTACGAATGTTCCTTTTTCTTAAATGGCGTAGTAAATCGTCATAACTGCCGATATTGGTCCGATTCTAATCCCAGAATTTATCATGAGGTTCATACACAGCAGCCACAAAAATTGAATATTTGGGCTGGTATTTTTGTTATTTAGTTGGTCCTTTCTTCTTACCTGGAAATTTGACCGGTGAAATGTATTTGGAATTACTGGAAGACGCCATATTAACAGCCATAATTGAAAATCAGAATGATCGGCGGTACATTGCGAATTGCTTGATGTTCCAACAGGATGGTTCCCCACCACATTACGCATTACGTGTTCGACAATATCTATGTTACTTAGCCAACATCATTAGAAGACCTGCAACAAAGAATTATGAATGAGTGCCTTCAAATTACTCCTCAAATATTGCAAAATGTGCGGCAACGTTTTGAGCAAAATCTTTATTATTGCATGGAGAGTCATGGTGGCATTTTCGACATTTACTTGCCTAAGGGGTCAGTTCATTCTTCATTTTTAAATTACTTTGCTGCCAAATGTATTGATCTCCACTAATGATGATGTATTAGTTTTATTTAAGCTTTAAATCAATAAATCTTCAAAACTACTGAACTGAAGTACATTAATTTTATATCATTATAAAGGGAATTGAAAGACCTTTAAAATAAGGTATCACTCGACCCCCCTTTCCATTTAAGATTTTGGGGGTGGTGTCACCCCCGCTTAGGGGGCTGCACGTGCTAACGTGATTTTTTGCCAAACTCGTGTCCCCCTCGAAAACAAAATCGACGGGTCTGAGTGTTTTTCAAAAAAAAAAACTGAGGTGCCAGTAAATGCGTCTGTTTCGTTTTCGATGCGCCACCCTGTATAAAGGGATGCTCGTAGTTGATTCGCCACGAACGGTGTTTACAACTATACCTAATGCACTGTTGACTGAGAGTCAGTGGTACACCATGAAAGGTCGGTGGATTGAAATCTTCT